CACATCACAGCACCGGGGCTGCTGCGTGGGGAGCCCCGATGACCATGCCCCCTGACAGTGTGCTCGCTTTCAGGGATGGGGGGGACTTCTGAGTGCACTGAGGAACCCAAGCCCACCCACCCTGAGGAGCTCACAGCCACACACAAACCTTCTGCCTCTGCCCCCTCCCTCTGCCAGCGCCAGAGCACCACCTCTAGGAGGGACGACGTGCTGCTGTCTTGGTGAGCCAGTTTCCAGAGGGGGATGAGCCAGCACAGTAGTAAGTCAAATTCTCCCTTTGGAGCCTGTGAAGCGGGTGGCTGCTGGCATCTCCAAAGGCCAAATGTGCCAGGGGAAGAATAGTGTGTGCTGATGTTTATAAGGCAACTAAATGGCTCTGTATGAGACTCCCCTGGAAGCCTGCCATGGCTGACCTCGTTGCCTAAGGGCAATGTTAAGGAGTGAGGTTGCAGAGGCAGATGCTTTGGTGAACTCCAGGTTTATGATTTTATAGTGTCTTGCCCTTGCTAAACACTATCTACCCTCTAAAGTCCAATTGTTACTTGCCAGAAGGTGTTCTACAGGCAGTGGTTTTAAGTTTTGCAGACTACCCTGTAGCTGTTCCACCCAGTGGCCACATTTCCTTGAGAAAGACCCACTTGTGGCTGCTGCCAGGAGCCAGGGGAGCTGCCTGCCTTGCTGCCAGCGCTGCCTTCTCATGGGCTCTGAGCTGGCTCAGGAACCACTTGTTCCTGGTTCAGAATAAGTGGCTCAAAGAACAAGATTGCACCTGCGTGCTGTGAGGTGACTGGCTCAACAGCTCTCACCTCGTGGTTTCCCACTGGCTCTGGGCTCCTGGATGGGGGATGCTGCAGTGGGCCGGGCAGTGGTACTGTATGGTGTTGTGTGAGGGACCCTGCATGCAGCAGCACCCTCATGTTAGAGGCATCCCCTGGGCATTCCCTGGGACTCCCCTGGGTGTCCCTTACAATTATCGTCCTGGTGTTTCAGTGAATGCTGCTCTGTGATCCTGTTCATGTGTTTGACATGCCATGCCAGTCAAACAGCTGATGGTGCCCTGAGCTCTGGATGCTAGGAGTAGCACTAGGGACAAATACAGAAGGTGCAGTTGGGGACTGCATTTTGGATGGAAGCTCTGCATTGCAGATACAGATTTACCCCGAATTAGGAACGCATTTGCTTCTCTTCAGACCATTTTCAGAACAGTTCACAGACAGAGATTGCTTTGGCAGTGCCGCCTTTCATTAGCAGCAGGTATATTGACATGTGAGAGCCAAACACAGCCAGAGTATGAAGGCAAAGCTCCCTGCTGATGGTGATGCTGCTATATCACACAATGGCAAGCAGGCTGATGTGTGTAATACCATGAGCTGAGCTAGGAAAGAGCACACAGCACTTTTAGCCCCACAACAAAGCAGCACCTATACATGCTGGTAGCATCTGGATAGGTATCATCTCAGGAGTCCAGGGCCTGTCCTTTAAATGTTTTATTAAGCTCATGCTCTATGCAGTCTTTATTGTCTGCAGTTAGAGATAGAAAAGTTAGATACAGAACAGCAGCAGGTTTAGGATTTCCTCTATGTGGCTAATTAATGCCTCTACCATGGAGCTTGGTGCTCTGCATGACTTGTGAAGACTGGGAGTGTCCCATATCATACTATGCTACAACTTGCTATTGCTGCAGCCTGGTTGCCGGCTTTAACTGCTTCACCTTGCTCTTATGTATCTCTGAAATGTCACTTGTGCCGGATGGCAAGCGAAGGTGACAACCACAGTATTCAGTGGCATTTATGTGAGACACGATGCTATCACGAGAGGGCTTCCTCCTGCCAGGACATGAAAGGGCAAGGTGCTGAGCACTCACTTCCTCTGAAACTGAGCTTAACATGATCAGAATATTATAGGGTATTTTTTTTTTTAATCTGAATAATTGATTTACTAATTATTTGGTATCTAATTGATTTAATGTTGAATGATCGCATCAGAACTGGACCATGCTGGCTGCTGTACAGCTTCCCTGGTAAGAGCCAGGCCAGTCCCTCCAGGCTAAAGACAGCATGGACAACCAGATAAGAAAGTAAGTGTATATTTATTCAAGGTCACACCAATGTTTGGGAAATTATATCTCCCTCTCCTGTGTCCCAACCTACTGCTCTCTTCCTCAAGGCAAACTTTCTTTCTACTACTTGAGCAGACACAATCCGTGCGCTTATCTGAGGTCCAAATATGCATATGATGTAAAGAAAATTTCTAGCCCCATCCACAGTGAAAACCCAGTGAAGAAGTTGGTGGGGTTTCTAATATCTGGGTGTTCGTGGTCTTAAGATCATTATTTCACTGTATTAAAACTGCTGTCATTTGTTTAAGCATTTATATACCATCTTAAAATTCTCCTAGTATTTATTTCCAGGATCCTAGATGGTTAAAAGCTTGGGCTCAGTCTAGAATGTAAGTGTAGATATGATGGTAGGCTTCCTGTTTCTTTAAGAAGCCTTAATTTGTATCAGCTCATTTGATTTCCTTTACAGTAATATAAACCCACTAGTTTTTACATAGGGAGTGAAATATTGGCAGTGCCTGGACACTAGTATTGCTTCACATTGGATTGCAGAATTGTTTTCATTTTCTCTTGGGAAACCATCTGCTAAGAGGATTCTTAACCTTTTTTTGGTAGCAATCTAATTCAAAAGGATGGGCCTTCACAAACACGAAACCCCGAGGTGATAGTTTGTATGTCTTTGCTACAGGGAGTTAAATTCAATTGCACTCCAAAGGGTTATTAAAACTGAAGTATTTTAGGAATGCAAACTCAGGCTTACAAGCCCCACATGATCTAGCAATGTATTTTTCTTCTTTGCAATGCATATTTGCAGAAGTCAGAGCTGTGCTTCCCCCCCTGGAGCCTGGGAAACATCCAGCAGCACGTGAGTGAGCACAGGGATGTTTCTGAGGAGCTTCATTATGGAAAGAAGTTCCTGATGAAGGACTACCCATGGGTAGGAGTGTTCATTCTTAGGGGCATCATCCCCACTGACCACTTTGAGTTTGTTTTTCAAATGATGAGGACTCTTCTTTCTCCATACCACGTGCCCTCACTTTTCACTGTCTCTGTGGGCTTGGGGAAGAGCTCAGTACCCCACAATGGGCTCTGAAAGCCCTGAGTGTGTGTCTTCACAGGACTGTTTCATGGTGGATATAAAGTGAATGCTAAAACCTGGGGTCTGTGCCTGGCTCTGGGGGCCAGGGCTTGCCCCTGCCTGCTGTGCAGCTGAGCTAATGGAGCCCATTGAGGTCTGTGCTGCAGGCTGTGGGCATGACTGGCAGAAGCTTGGGTATGATTTTTTAAACTGATGTAGCAGCATTCTCTTCAGTCCCTAGTGCATGTCAATAAAATCAGCCAGGCCTTATATCTGACCTAAATCTGTGTGACTGCTGCAGAACTGGTACCTGCTTGAGGTCTTGCATTGCTGCATCCACCAGCAAGGTCCCAGATCAGCTGAGAATCCCAAGCATTTGGAGATATGAATGCTTGTGGGTAGAGCACAGATGGCTTAATATCCTGGTGTGGCTGAGACTTGGCACCTAGGCTGTAGTGGGTGACCCGACCTCCTGCTTTCCTAGACTGTGTCCCTCTGCAAACCCTTCCTGTGGTGAGCTCATGGCGGGTACCTGGAGATGTCCATGCTGCCCCAGGAAAGCGCATGCTAGGGAGAAGGGCACCTTTCCCACTTTTGTTCTTTGGTTAGTTGGCAGGTGAGCTCTTTTTAAGCCTGGTGGGGAAAACTAGGTGAAGTTAAGCACTGTCTTTTGCCACTGGGTCCAATGGGTAGAGCAGTGACCCAGGGAACTGAAAGCATGGGTTTTACATTCAGAAGTCTTAATAAGACAAAAAGCCCTGCCAGTAGGCAAGCAGGATAAGATCTCTGTAACTGCATTCCTCCTTGTAGATCCAGCTACACGTGCATTCCAAAACAAGAGTACCATACCCCAGTCCTAGGGCAAAACTGACAACTTCATATCAGTAATCTCTGGCTGTTTAGAAACACACTTAAATGTTGGCTTGACCTGTGGGTTCACAACCCAAGCTAGACAGCAGCACAGCTGGAACTACTGTGTGGTGTTAAAATTGCCTTACACTTTCCATTAACGTACCACAGTTTCCCTTCCTTTTGACTTTGCCAGTTTCCAACTGTTGGGGCCAAAATTTTACATACCAGGTGTCTGCCCCAGGCTGGGAAAATCTGGAAAACATTCAGTGAAAAGGATATGTTCATTTCCAGGGATGAGGCAACAGGAGCATTCAGGTGAGCTGCCCATCTGAGATACCTGGAAGGGTTTTTCTCTGAGAGGCTCCTAGGCTCTGACTCTGCAAGCAGGGTCTCCATCTCTGCCATCCCACCACGTGTCAGGGAGCAGCTTTCTGCCTGCTCCAGGACAAGGTCTCAAATGAGGGGAGGTCTGTGCACACACTCCTGTTCCGGCAGCTGAAGCAGATGAGATTTCCCAAGTGTGGTGGACACCTGCCTAAGTCTGAGGCTGGACAGTGATCCAGTTTGTGCTGCCCTGGGCACTGGAATGAAGGAGGAGAAGCTGATCCTTCCCTTCACAGCCACGATGCAGTGCCAGAAGGAAGGCACAGATCATGGAGGAGGAGCAGGAGATGATGGCAATCAGGGAATCGGACAAATGCACTGATTTTGCTGCCAGGACTGCCAGAAAAAACACTGCTCCTCATCCTGCCCTTCCCACACAGGCAGCACGTGCTGTACCCTTCAAAGGAGAAAACAGAAGGTGCAGACGCTGACCTGAGTTGTTACTCCCTGGATCTGCCCGACCAGTATCATCAAGCTTCTGTCCTGCACAACTCTGCTTCAGTCCTTGCCTTCTCAATTCCCTGTATGCTGGGGCAGGTAGATTAACTGCATTCGGGTAACAGAAAGGTGGCAGCTTTGAGCCTTCAGATGCTAGGGATCAAGCAGTGCAGGCAGCATCCAGCCACCTTCACACTTCCTTCTGTGCACCCATGCTGTGAACAGGCAGTCCCCTGCCCCTTGCACTTGTACCCGGTCAGCAGTAACTCTGCTTGATGTGGGCAATTACCCAGAGCAGTGCTGCGGGAGTGAGGAGAGTGGGAGAGGTGAGTTTTATAACACAGATTAAAAATGCCGTTAGGAAATGGGACTGGAAAGTCTGCCGCCATGGATAGTAGTTTAGCAATAAGTTTGTTGGCTTTTTTTTGTTTAATCTGCTTTTTCTTTCCTGTTTTACTGCGGCTGTGTCCCAGGTGCAATCCTGCGTGGTGGGTTTTGGAAAATGACAGTGCTGCGTCCAGCCAGAAACTGTCTGCAATGTCTGCAGCAGTTATGGGCTGCCATCCACCCAAATGCCCACCACCAGGAAGTGGCAAAGATGCAGATTGTGTCTGAGGATACTGGGAAAATGTAGGACTGAAAAACATCTTTCTCTGTGTAGACACATGCAGCCATGATAGTGCTACTGATTCCTTCTAGTGTATACAAGGGTGCTAAAGACTGCTTTAAACCCAGCTGAGTTAAAAACAAGCCTTTTTTTCCCCAGAAGGAGAGATCATTAGAGTGCCTAAGGGCTTGTTCCCAAGGCTGTATGTGTTCTTGCTTTCTTCTCTGTTTCTTTTTGATTGCTTTTTGGCTTCTTAGGCTGCACTCTCAGTCCAGCCTTGCTTGTTCGTGCATTCCTAGTTTATCCAATTATTGTGTTCTTCCTGGTAGTGAGGAAGCGCAATAGCCTCTTCGCTACCTGCAGCAAAAGCGAATGCCGGAGTAGAGTGTTTGTGTATGTGTGTGTGTGTATTTGTGACTACTAAAAGAAAGAAAAAGGGAGCAAGTACGGTTGCATAGAGAGCGTAGGTTGTTTACAACATTCTCTAAAGCCCTATGCTAAATAACAGAATATGTTGTGTAGGTAAGAGTGAGTAGGAGGGGGTTCCTGATGGAACTACTCCTGCAGAATGACTCTTTGGTGTAGACAACTTTCCTGATCAGTTTATTCTTTTCAGAGAGATCCTGGAGATTTCCTGGTATGGTCCTACCATTGCTTCTAGCGCTGACCACACTTCAGAGCTGAGGCATCACCTCCCACTGTAACATCCACCTGCCTCAGCACTCCCTCTCACTTCCTTACATTGTGATCCTCAGTTTTGGGTCCAAAAGCTGTTAGGAGATGGTAAAAATAAAGAAACTAATCAGTTCCCTGCCTGCACTTAAACAGCAATGCTGAACACCAGAATAGAAATCGCTTTCCAAACACAATTAACTGCTGTGTATTGGCTATGCTGTTTGCAGACTGGTGGAGGGTCATGCAGTGCTGACTAGAGGGATTGTAGCAAAGTTTGCTTTTAATCAGTTTCTAAATGTTTTCACCTTGGGGTGTGAGGGCCCTATTCTCATGCTGTCTGTGCTATTAACAGTGCCTGCCTGGGGCTGGAGGAAGTTTCCATCACCACCACATTCGCATAACGTCAAAAACCACTGAGGAGTTGCAAAATAACAAACCCAGGCACTGCAGCTCCTTCCTTGGGGCTTTCTGCTCTCCTGCCTCTGCTTTCTTTTTCACCACCACTGCTGTGGAGACTGAACGCTGCTGCCCCCCAACGCCTTCTCCAGAGGTAATCCTGGGACCCTGGTATGCTCAACACCCTGCTGAGTACTGCAGAGGCTGGAGTTAGGGGCTGAGATGTGACCAGAGCTCCTTTGAAACCCCACAGAGACCTGCTCCCTCTGTGCCCATTGCAGCAGTGCCTTATTGGGATTGACAAAATCCAGCTCGCCTCTAGTGCGTTTTTCTTGGGGCTGGAAGGAAACCTTCTCTTTGTAGCTGATGACTGGAAGGGCTAACTAACACATCCGGGGCTCTGCTCCCCTTCCAGCTCAGGTCACAGGCTTTTTATAGTGCTCTCTTTTCACCCCAGACATTTTACAGGCCTCATAGGTTGAGAAGTTTGATGTTGTGTTGGTCAAAGTTTTATCGCAAGGGACTGGCATAAGTAGTCGGTGATTTCTGCCACCAGAACGATTGTAAGTCTTTCTGTAAATACACTGAAGACAAGGGCTGGCAAGGTGAGATCGTTTGGCCTTAAAATGGTGTAAGAGACACGTCCTGGTGGAATTTTCCAGTGATCCTTTGTTAGATCTCTTACTCAGTGCTCCCCTTTGCAGAGGGAATGCCCTTGGGGTGGCCCTGAGACAAAGTGGGGTGCATTTCCTTGTTTTCAGTGTAGAGGAAGTGTAACCTGTGGTGGGATGCAAACCAACAGGCAAAGGAGAAGATGACCTTTTGGGTTTGTTGTTCTTCTTTCTGTCTGCAGTGAGTACCCTTCATTTCCATCTTATGGACTACTCATTTCTACCTGAAGAGGAATTGAAAGCACATAATTGAAGAACTGGCTGTTAGCTAGGTGAAGTCTTTATGCTTGTCACCTCAGAAGAAATAAACCAGATTAAAAACTAAAGCTGACATGCTCTGGAACAAATTATATTGTCAAAACTCATGTATTCCTTTAGGAAAATAATTTACATGATGGTCTGATTTGTGGGGTGACAGTGAGAATTTGAAGCTATAGGAGTTAAATCCTACAAACTAAAAAATGACACTTGAAAAAAACCCATCCTAATCTGAAGCAAGGATGTATATAAGAAGGCCAGATAATGGCTGGGATAAAAATTAGATTTCATGTTTGAGGACATCTTTAGGATTCTATCTTTTTCAGGAAAGAATAGACTAATGAGTGCAATAACAACTGGCAGCTCTCTTCTGGCCATTTTAAAGTACTGTTCAGCTTGGAAGCTCTTAAATGAGATACATTACATCTGTCAGAGTAATGTACAATAGATCTTCTACTGAGGCTCTACATGTCTGTGGTCTTCAGTGCAATATTTCTTCAGTTACACGGTCATCAAATTGTTTATAGAGACAAAATGCTACCCAGTCAAAGCAAATACTTCAAAATAGCTTAGCTATTGTTGAGATATTTATTTGAAAACATGTAATTTATCACTTGGGTACTGTTTTGTTTTGGGCAATTTAGCGTGAACAGCACGGTTCCTGATTCAGCAGGAAGATCAGTATCAGGATCTTGTTTTGGAAAACAGATCAGGTAAAGCAGTAGTCCTCATTTTTAACCAAAAATCGGAAATATAGCGGAGGTTAATATGACCAAGTACTGGCTGCTGCTCTAGAACCAAGGAATTTGGGCTAAAGATATATCTCATCAGAGTTGTGGGATACACTGAGAGAATTATGTTGTTGTTTCAAGACTTGCCAAATACTTTTCAGACGAAAGTTGAATTCTCAAGAGCCCTATGACACTCTTACAATTTCAAACACTGAAACTGCATCTTGCAGAACTGAAGGTGCCTTCAGTCTGATAAGCATCAGCTGTCTTCCTTTGATCTAAATAAATATCGCCCGGCTGGGGCCCCCAGCACCTATACACAGTGCTGCTGCATCTTGCTGGGAGGAGGGACATGCACAACAGGGTTTGGAAAGAGAGGATGCCTCTTCCCATCTAGCAGGTGGACAACACCGACTTGCAGCTCAGCCCTTCTCCCCTCCATAGGGAAACTCAGCACCTGCTTTAGGTCACGTAAGTGGTTGGTGTCAGAAGATGCTTTCTGTGGTATGGCAAGATCCCAGCTGAGTGTTGTGAAGAGTCACTTCCCAAAAGAGGCCTAGGATTGGAATAGAGATATATAAAGCCTTCCAAAATGCTTTTCTGATGTGAATGGATAGGGCTGAGGGCAATTCTTCTCACCAGGAGGCTCCCCAACCATTCCCTGTCGGAGCACCCGGGTCCCAGCCAGGCTGTGCAACCCCCGGCAGCAGGTCCCACAGACATTGTTCTGTCCTTTCTGGGCCATAGGGAGTAGGAACAAGTGAAAGGTAACACAGGACATGAGAAATACTTTTCATGGGTGCCTGCAGTCAGAGCAAAGTTCCTTGCTATATTTCAGCTCTATGCCATGAGGAACCCATCATGTGAGACCTGCAGCATTTGCCAAGTAATGTACCTATTGATTTGTGAGGAAGATGGTTTCTGTACTAGGCTGGATTTAACTTTATGCTGAAACCTTGCTGCATTGATTTATCTTTGCAGGCTAGAAAATATCAGAGAACTTTGTTAATGATTTTTCTTGGTTATTACAAGTTTAGTGAAAGATCCAGTAACAAACCAAGTCACAGATCCTGTAACCTCACAGCAGCTGGTCCACAAGCCTTGCATTTTTTCCCTATAGATAAAATGCCTGAATTAATTTCCACTATATGTTGTGTTCCGACAAGATTTCCATGGCCATTGAATCCTCCTGTGGATGGCATTTTTTAACACATCTGATTTTGTTCTCAGATCACTGTTAAAATTGTTGATTATGATGGAAGTTCACATTAAAGCAATTTACAAAGAGCAGCAGCCCAGCTATATGTCAGCATGTGGGTGTCAGGGCACTTATTCCTGATGCTATCCTGCCATGTAAGACTTGCACTTGGGACTGTATCTTCCAACATCTATGAATGCTGTTTTGCTTGACTTCTTCAGTAAGTGGACCAGAGCATTGTGTAGACTTGGTCAGAGGAAATCTGTACGAATTCATTTTCCTCCTTGTGTCAGCTTCACTGAAAGCACTGACAAGAGAGAACTTCATTTCTGTTTCTTTGATGGCAGATGCTGAAACAAAGTAATAATTTAAAAAGAATGATTAATTACTGTTGTGTTTGTTAACTTGGTGCATACAAGTTATGGCAGCAAGCTGGTTTGGAGTGCATGCCCTTAGCTGAATGGCACAGTACTGCACAACTGCTCTCTGTGCTATTTCACCCCTGTGAAACCCTCAAAGGTTTTAATTCAACTTTTTGGCAACTTAAGATGTCACTAGTATTTTTTTTTTTAATTTAATCAGGTGTGTTCTTTTTATTTCTGCTAATATCTCTGACAAGACACACATGTAAACAGGTCAATTTGCTTCATGTGTTTCTGCTAT